CGGACAGAGAGAGAAGAGAGAGAGACCGACAGAGAGGAGAGAGAGAGATAAGAAAGAGAGAGAGAATGAGAGAGAGGAGAGAGAAGAGAGATAGAAGCGGAGGAGGGAGAGAGAGAGAGGAGAGAGAGAGAAAAAAAGGAAAAGACGACCAGAGAGAGAGGGAGAGACGAAGAGAGACGGACAGACAGAGAGAGAGAGAAGGGAGGAGAGAGGAGAGAGGGAGAGAGAGAGAAGGGAAGAGAGAGAGAGAGAGAGAAGAAGAGAGGAGGAGAGAGAGAGAGAGAGAGAGAGAGAGAGAGAGAGGAGAGAGGAGGGAGAGACGGACAGACAGAGAGAGAGAGAGAGGAGACCAGAGAGAGAGAGAGAGAGAGAGGACAGAGAGAGACGGAGGAGAAGGAGAGAGAGAGAGAGAGAGAGGGACGAGAGAGAGAGAGAAGAGAGAGAGAGAGGACAGAGAGAGAGAGAGAGAGAGAGAAGGACAGAGAGAGAGAGAGACAGAGAAGACGAGACAGAGAGAGACAGAGAGAGAGACGGACAGAGAGAGAGAGAGAGAGAGAGACGGACAGAGAGAGAGAGAGAGAGAGAGAGAGAGAGAGAGAGAGAGAGAGAGAGAGAGACGAGAGAGAGAGAGATGAGAGAGAGGAGAGAGAGAGAGAGAGAGAGAGAGAGAGAGAGAGAGAGAGAGAGAGAGAGAGAGAGAGAGAGAGAGAGAGAGAGAGAGAGAGAGAGGAGAGAGAGAGAGAGAGAGAGAGAGAGAGAGAGAGAGAGAGAGAATCTGAACAAGCAGAAACCGATGCGAAACGCTCACCCGCTTCCATGTGTTCCAAGACGAGCTCAATGGCCTGCTTCTGCTCCTCCTTGACGTCCGCGTAGTCGTCGTCCTCATTGAACACGGGGTCCTCCAGCGCCTTCCTGGTTCCGGCGCCGAAGAGGGCGACCATCACCAGCAGGATGGCAAACATGATGCTGTTCACGAGGGCGCCGATCTGCAAGGGGAGATTTCTTTAGTCGTGGGGCTATTCATTTTGGCAGCGAAAACACGGCATAGAATCAAGGACAATTATAGAGTAATGCATGTGTTGCGTATGTTGGTCAGCATGTTTGACTATGGGAAGGGTTATTTCCTTTTCCTCAAGACACAAGACCTACATGCGGGACGGTTTTCTGGACAAGTACGACCCGTTCCACGCACATGTTCACGGTCCGCGGTACAGGTTGACTGTCTGAACGCGCAATTTTAACGCGGCATTCAAATCTCGACATGCTAGAAAATGTTCCATTTTAAGTACTCAAAATCAAAAGAATTCGTTTCTTTGATGAATAACTTGTTTTCCTCTAGAAAGTATTCAGTTATGGCTATCTTCATAATCTATGATTTTTTATCCAATATCAGTTGATTATGAACGGCATGTGTGCATTTATGGGCTATAAAATGATTCCGAATAATGTAATAGAAGTTCATGATTTTTTTGTATTGTTTCTTTCTTAATGCTGCTTCTACCGCATGAAATGTGACAGCATTGAATGCCAGGCAGACAGTTTCGAACAAGGTGGAATGTTAAGAGATCATAACCTTTGAAACCTTTCTTGGCAAACAGTGAAAGCATGCTTGTCATGCATGCATGGTGTATAAATGGGCCTTATTGTTCGATAGGCAAATCAAGTCTTTGTAACACAGGCTGCTTGCAGCGTGCACCGACTACTTCCACAGGCGTTTTAAAGAATGCAATCGCAGGTCAAAGAATGGAGAGGAAAGGAAGAAAACCCCGAACTCCATAATGACGCCAGCATAAAACATTTACGCTGGTGGCGGCCGAGGGTGGCTGGCGGCGCGGGCTGTGTAGCGGCCTCGCGTCACGCACGGCGCCCGGAGCCAACAGGAATACGCCTTGTATGTGTTTACATACTATAAGTTACCGTGATGTTGGTCGGTTAGTACCGCCATACATGACTGTATATATATATATATATATATATATATATATATGATATATATATATATATATATATATATATATATATATATATATATATACACACACTTACATTACATATACATACATAAATATACATAAATATATTTGAATATATAAATAAATGAATGAATACATATATGAATGAATACATATATGAATGAATACATAAATAAATGAATGAATAAATATATTACACACACACATATATATATATGAGAGAGAGGGAAAGAGAGATGAATGAATCATCAGATTACATTTCTATGTGAAGAAATTGCCAAGTTCAGCATTCACCAATTCAGCGCATAAGCAACTACACAAAACCCATAGATCGCACGCCGTGTGAGCGTTACTCGGCCGCACATACAAGACCTTGAACACGGGCTCATATTTCGACCTTGGGAGGGAGGTAGGGCGCGGAGGTACACAGGGAGAGGGGAGGGAGGTAGGAGGTATACAGGGGAGGGGGGGAGGTAGGGCGTGGAGGTATACAGGGAGAGGGGGAGGGAGGTAGGGCGTGGAGGTATACAGGGAGAGGGGGAGGGAGGTAGGGCGTGGAGGTATACAGGGAGAGGGGAGGGAGGTAGGGCGTGGAGGTATACAGGAGAGGGGGGGAGGAGGTAGGGCGTGGAGGTACAGGGGGAGGGAGGAGGGCGTGGAGGTATGGAGGGCGTGGAGGTATACAGGGAGAGGGGGAGGGAGGTAGGGCGTGGAGGTATACGGGAGAGGGGAGGGAGGTAGGGCGTGGGTATACAGGGAGAGGGGGAGGGAGGTAGGGCGTGGAGGTATACAGGGAGAGGGGGAGGGAGGTAGGGCGTGGAGGTATTACAGGGGAGGGAGGTAGGGCGTGGGAGTATACCGGGGAGGGAGGTAGGCGTGGAGGTATACAGGGGGGGAGGGAGGTAGGGTGTGGTATACAGGGAAGGGGGAGGGGGAGGAGGTAGAGGTATACGGGGAGGGAGGTAGGTGAGGTTATACAGGGGGAGGGAGTAGGGGTGGAGGTATACAGGGGGAGGGGGGGGGAGGGGGTAGGGGGGAGGAGGGGGAGGGGGAGGTAGGGCGTGGAGGTATACAGGGTTAGGGCGCGGGAGGTACACAGGGGAGGGGAGGGAGGTAGGGGCGCGGAGGTACACAGGGGGGGGGAGGGGGAGGGGAGGTAGGGCGCGGAGGTACACAGGGGGAGGGGGAGGGGGTAGGGTGTGGAGGGTATACAGGGGATGGGGAGGGGGAGGGGTGTGAAGGTATACAGGGGGAGGGGGGTATGGCGTGGAGGTACACAGGGGGAGGGGAGGGGGGTAGGCAGAGGTGGGTGTGGGGAGGACAGGAAGAGGGAGAGAAACCAAGAAGGATGGCGGTTAATACAGAGAGCGACTGTTGGCTTTTATGAGCTGCGAGGGGATGGGAGAATATGGAACAAACAAAGTAGATAATAAACCCCGTAATAAGCGAACCATAATTATTCAAAATTCACACACAATCGTGCATGTTTCTTGAGACATGCATGCACAGTGTCCATGGCTGTAAGCATTATAAAAACATGGTGACCTACTTCACCGACATACATTTTTCGGGGGAATATCGAACTAAGCTCAATTTACACGCCGATTGTACAGCAAAATCGCTCGTCCTTGTAAATCATTTTCAAATTTAAAGTTTACGTCAATGATTTAAGTTGAAACATTCTATCAAGCACACACAAACAATTATCTCTTGACATTTTGAGTGTCCAATAGCGTCTCTTCTCCTTTGGATTGCGGGAAGCGGCCACCCCGGCGACTGAAGGAAATGTATATGTAAGTACTTATGTAGACCTTTCTTTTGCTTTCCTGAAGTACTTATATAGGCCTTTCTTTCCCTTTCCTTGAGTACTTATATAAGCCTTTCTTTCCTTTTCCTTAAGTACTTATTTAGCCCTTTCTTTTCCTTTCCTTACTTATATAGACCTTGACTTAAGCTTTCCCGACGCAGTGGCCGAGCGTCGCTGCCCGTGACCTTTTGTCGCCCGCCCGTGGCCCCTCGACGCTAACGCCCGTCGCCAGATCTGTCTATTAACTCCTCTTCAGGGATTTATATCGAATACAAAAACTAAGTTAAATATGTGGAATTGCTGACCACATTGCTCTAATTGGCCCCTGGATGGTCTGGCGCCGGAGTGCCAGTTACTGTTCGCTGACTTAGAGGCGAACTAAATTTACTTGCATCACGTGACAGAAATATGACAGCCCTTGGCCGGCGAAGCACACCTAAGCCTCGGGACGCCCCTCCGGACGCCTCTGACGGTACGCACCGTTCGCTCTCCTCTCCCGCCAGCCGCGCCGGCCGTCCTCGCGGCCCGACCACGAAACGTAATCACTTTGACTCTTTCCAAAGTGAATCCCGGCTTATGCTATGCAGTATGCGGGGATGTGCCTGTATGTATGCACGTATGCTTATATGCATGTATGTATGTTTGCATGTATATATGTAAGTATGCATGCATATATGTATGCAAAGATATATGCGTGAATACAATATGCATAAACACAAATGAATTCATTTAACATAAACAAATAAACGTACACATTTCCGCGCGCAAGCGGGTTTAATTAGAAAGTCTATTGTCACAACTCTTACATGCGTTCAAAGACTGTAATCTTTCGAAATCTTGTCTTCACTCGGGCAAGTGGTTCTGCCAAGCCGAGTTTTTATTTGGATAATGCGTTCGGTCAGAGAAATTTCCTTCTGAATGCATTTGCGTGTTTACGCCTCATCTGGCACCGCCTTCTGCTCGGGACCCGCCTCGTGGAATGGTCGGCCATGAAAGTTTCCCTCACTGTGATGTGCAATTTCCAGTTTCTTATTCGAAATATCCGAGGTTACAAGTGCACGACAAAGACCTTTATAATAGAAACGACTTCACCGTATACGCGAAGTGAAAGAAATCTGGCGAGTTTTTCTTCGCAGGATCCCTGCCTTTGCGGCCCTGGATGTACCGCGCGACCAACGCCCTCGGTCGTGTCTCGAGAATTTCGGCGCCGTTTTCATCAGTTGGAATCGCTTCTACGGAGACGCTTCCTTCGAAAGTTTCCCCAATTAGGCCTCCCCGTTAAACAACAAACTGATACCAACGCCGCTGAAAGAGGACGTGACAAAAAATGTAATCCATTCCTTCACGACCTCCATTCCTTGAAACCAAACATGTGTGGTGATGACTTTCGCAGATGTTCTGGGGGGATTGGGTTTCAGCCTTCCCTCCCTCCTTCCCCTTCGACCCTCCCCCCCTCCTTCCCCTTTTCGGCCTCTCCCTCCTACCCCCTCCTCTCCCCCCTCCGGCCCTCCCTCCCTCCCTCCCTCCCCTTCGGCCTTTCCACCTCCCCTCCTCCCGCACCCTCACCTCTTTTCGCCAATGACCCCTTTTCCTCTGTCCCGAAGCCAACCTTTTTTGTCAGTGTCCATCCCCTCCCCTCCCTCCCCTCTCCCTTCCTTTTCAACTACGCCAGCCATACCCCCCCCCCCCGCACCCATGCCTCCTCGCGTTGACAGCAGTCTTGCAGCTTGGCTCCTGTACCGTCTTCCCCTGGCAACATGCGCACATACTCATGCGCGCAAACTTTTTTTGTACGCGAAGTGCCTCTTCACATTTAAATGCATCTGGTAGTATAATTACATATTTACAATAAAACTGTGTGGGTATGTGTACGTGTATGTATGTATGCATGCATGTAAACGTGTATGTATGTATGTATTTTGCATGTATGTATGTATGCATGTATGTAAATGTGTGTGTAGGGTGGTGGATGGGTAAAGAAGGGAAGAGGAAGAAAAAGAGGAGGGAGGAGAGAGAGAGAGAGAGAGAGAGAGAGAGAGAGAGAGAGAGAGAGAGAGAGAGAGAGAGAGAGAGAGAGAGAGAGAGAGAGAGAGAGAGAGAGAGAGAGAGAGAGAAGAGAGAGAGAGAGAATGAGAAGAGAGAGAGAGAGAGAGAGAGAGAAGGGGGGGGGAGGTGAGTGAGTGAGTGAGTGAGTGAGGAAGGAGGG